AATTTTAGACGAAGAGTTAGATGCAAACCATAAAGCATGAGTGAATTCGAAACATCAAGGATGAGTGATTACCGTTGGAATTGGAACACTGGTTGTTGTTGGTATGATTGTTGTTGTTATGGTTGCAGCAATAGTGGTTGTCTCGGGTGGAGTCACTTTGTCAGTAGTTTCGATGGAGGCTTGAGAGGCACTCCCTTCTTTCGACTTTGAGGCAGCTGTCTTTATCCTGATGGCTGAAAATCGAAACAATTAAAGCAAAGGTTAAAGATATGGAAAATAAAAGACATTTGGGATTTTCCCAAGCATTCGCACCTGTGCCTTGATCAGATTTAATTGACATGGCAGAAAGGTCGTATCGAAGGTGTCCTGGGAAATCATGAAGCCAGTATCGAGCCCATGTCACAGTCTCAGATGGCTTTGGTTTCCTTTGAAGATATTTGAACATCTCTTTGCAAGTAAACCACCATGGATATGGGGGAAACCAAGCCAGAGCCAGTTCTGAGGTAGGTAATCTGGGAAATTTAGGTGGATGCATTTCGAATGCCAACCTATACATATCCTCAGGTGACAGCCCTGAAGGAAGTTTTAACTTAGAAACTTTTTGTTTAAATTTTTCCTTCAAGGTCTCAGCTGCTTGATGCACAGTGGAGTCCAAGCGCGTGGGGTCATAAGTAGTTTCAAAATAATTTTGGAAAGCTTTAATCTCTTTGGCATGAGTAAACATACCTTTCTTTGTTGGTACCTGCACATCGAAGGCATCAATTAGTTTCTGTTGAATTGTAAGTGTATCGAACATATAAGTTTGATAAAACTTGGTCCACCATTCCAGAAATCCTTTAGCCGTGAGATGGGTAGGTTCGAAGGTTATCAGCTCAAATTGGGCAAAGCCTTGATATTGTTCTTGCTGTATTTTGGCTTCCCGTGCCTTGAAAGTTCGTCCAGAAGTGATGGCGCTCTTAGTGTGAAATAAAGGTTCAGGAATCAGTTGGCATAAGCCAAACTGCCTCGAAACGAAGTTTGGTTGGTAGGCAAAGAGAAAATTTTGGTTCTTGGCTGGGGTTATTCTTGAAGAAATGAGTCTAGGCAGAAAAAAAGCTCTCCATACATCCTGAATCTCCTTGCTCTTGATAGCTTCTGAGAGAGCCATGGTGAACCAAGAAGGTCCATGAGCCCTCGAAGCAAAAGGCGCCATGCTCTCTTCGAACTTGTGCCTTTTGGAGAATATCATGATGTACTTCGAGAATTGAACTTTGAAGTCATCTTTGTCATCATTGGGAGTTAATCTTCGAAGCCTAGTGCCTTCGACTATCCTATCATTTATCTCAGAATCTTGCTCATCAAGGGTGTTGGCGGTTGATAAGGAGGGTTCGAACATGGCATTTAGCCATAGTTGGAGTAACCAAAAGGGGCCAGCCAATAGAATATTTTTGGAGGTGTGGGATTTGAGGCTCGAAACAGCTGACCTCAGGCTTTCATAGAGGTCAACTAAGAGCAGTTCACTTAGGCACACTTTTCGATTTTCATGCAAGTCCCTAGCTAGAGGAATGAACCTACTAGCTACCTGTAGGGATCTACTGCAGAAAACGTACCTTGACAGCCACAGGGTTAAGAAAGCAATGTGCTCTACGTCAGACACATTGTCCCCCTCAGCATGGTAATGACTGATAAATTTGGAAAAACTGGCTAGCTTGACTTCGAAGTCAATTATGCTTGAGTGTTCTTCGTTGTCGGGTATATAAGTTTCTCCCACTGGCGATAGCCCAGTGATGGCCGCTATGTCGAAGAAGGTTGGGGTGATCATTCCACCTGGGAGATGGAAAGTGTTATAGGTACTGTCCCAGAAATAAAGGGACGCGAATAGCAGAGGGTGGCTGTAGGTGAAACCAGGCTTCGATAGCTTAATCAGGTTATAGATGCCTAATTCTTCCCATTTTTGGGATTTCTTAGCTTCTACTTTCGTGAACCAATTTTGATAGGCAATATCAGAGGTGGGGCAAGATCGAAATGGCTTAAAATTACTTTTTACATAATCCAAAACAAAGGGGTCATTAGGAGGAACAGTTGGGGTTTCTATGGTATTTGAACTAGGAGATTCTACTGCCTTAGGGGCGTCCATTTTGTTAAATAAGGGTTTGAAGCTATAACAAACTGGGAAAATCGTCCTGGTGTCTTTTAATATTTCAAAAACCGTAAGAGGGCCATTTAAAGCTAACCTCTTACCAGCAACGTTGGTAGGAATGAGTACCTGTGACGCATACAGCATTTCTTTTTCTTTTGAAATCATCTGAGGGGCAAGTACGAATTGACCTTGGTGAGTGATGATTTTACTTTCCATGGTAGCTCCTGCAGTTTTTCCTTTCTTCTTGGAGACTTTCTTGAGTTGGGATGAAGTAGAAGAAGACATTTTTGAAAGATGTTGAAAGCTTGGATTTTTTCTTACGAGAGAAGGAGGGTAAAAGATTTAGAGTGTGAAAAGAAAAGAAAAAGATTAAGTTGGTGATGTTTTATAATGGGGAAGTTTAAGCATCCACCGAATAAGGGTGTGATACGTGGAGATCATGGGTTGGTGTGATGAAGAGGTGGCGTAAAGTTAACATGGGTAATAGGCGTGATTTAAAGATAATCATTATTTGTAACTGCACCATGCTGTGAAGTGGCTCCAGGCGGTTAAGGAATCCAAAAGGTGCTATGATTGACGTGACTGGAGTCAAATGCATTAAATGTTACGATGATTCGAAAGTCCCATCAAAATCTTGTGTAGGTGTTTAAAATAGGTATTTCTCAGAGGAATCGAAATACATATTTTAAAGGGGCAATTTGTTGGCTGAAGATTTTGATAATGTTATTAGAAGCCAAATAAATTAAACGTTTTGATCGAAATGAGGTAAAGCGTCATGTTTTGAAGTAGCAGAAGTAGTGTTTCGAATAAGTATGTCAAAGCTTGGAGCTTCGAGTGGCGATTATGGGAACATATCTAAAGAAGTCTCGAAGTAACAACAAGGCTGTGTCTGGGAAGAGCGTTCGAAACGGAGAAGTACCAAAGCATTTGAAATTCAAATGGAAGCGGGACTTTCGAAGTTTGAAAGTTATGTGCTGGAGCATTTTTGGACACGTGGAAAGACGAAAGAAGCATTGTCCTGCATGTTCTAAACGTGGCATAATCCTATAGCAAGACCGTTATGGTAGAATTAGTATAAATAGAAGTCTTAGTATTAGGATTTCGTGTGTCATATCTATTATACAAAATACTCAGTAACATTCAAACTACCACATGGCAAGGGAAACGAATGCAAGAGAAATGTATGTATGATAGCACCATGTATTTTTGATTTAATGAAAACCTTTTACCATTTCCAGCACTTTTCCTTTATCCTTTTGTCAGATAACATTTACAAGTTTTCTCATTTACAGTCTTTTCACTTCGCCATCTCTTCTTCAAAGTTTTACATTTTAATGTTTTCTTCATATTTCAAGCACTTTATATTTCAGAAAACTGTCATATTTTCCATACCTTTACCTTTAAGTCTTATCCTTCGAACGCATATTTTTACTTAAAGTCATTTAAAGATTTCTTGCATTAAACGCTTTCTTCATATTTCAAACCTTTTACGTTCCAGAAATCCTTTATATTAACTGTTTTGTAAGTCGAAACCATTTACTTCACTTTTATGCAATTTTACATGTCTTTACAATTAGCATTTATTCATGTAACTTAGTTTTCACACACACATTTTGATTACATCTTTAGACTTTTAGAGAGAGAGATCGAAATAAGCCAAACACATATACAATATCAACCATGAATATCTGTTCGATCGTGAGAGTAACCTTAATATCCAAGGAGTCCTAGGATCAATCTAGTCGATCCTGTGAGTTACCAGAGAAATTGAATAACAGTCAGAAAGATTATTCGATAGTTTGGAAGACTAGCGGTTGTTTACCAGAAATCACTGGAAACACGAGCATACGTCCGACTCCTACAAGTCACCCACAAACGTAGGGAGAAAACACTTACACGAGGAAGTGCTCAACACTAAAGTGCGCGAAGGGGCACATCTACTTAACTGACGGGGAAATGCTCGACAAACTAACAACTCCCAGGAGACGGGCATGTCAAAGGGAACCTCGCAGAAGCCCCTCACCACCAATATGTCCCATCGAGCAAGCAGTTGAACCCTCCGGTCCTGATTCCCGTTTGTCCATGATATTCCCCGACGTATTTGAGCCTGGCCCCCCGCGGGCAACGACCCGCTCCCTTCGGGGACTTTGACCCTCTACCTCGACCAAGTCTTCGGTAGCGAAAGCTGAACTCAAGTCATCGCCCTCTAACTCGAGGACAATAACTTGGGAGCTCTGATCTAGTTTTATATTTATTTAGAGGATTGCTATTTTTGACATTCAAAATCCTATACCGTATCCTTACACCACCTAAAATACATCATCCCTACATGTTTATTTGTATAAAAAAAGAAAAATAATAATTATGTACAAACCGTATGAAACTACAGTGTGGGTGTTATTTTTTAGTGTAGGAATCACATTTCTCATTTATTTAGGTATATAAAGTCATAACATCATGAAATTTTTTATGTTTTATATACTTTTTTTTTTCCTTTTCTTTCTTTAACGTGACGTTAGTCTATTAAAAAAAAGGTGACGTTAGTCTCTTTTCTTAAGAATAAAAAAGTAAGTATATATAAAATACAAAAAGGAGAATGATGACAGACAGTTTTGAAATTTTTATTTTTATATTCCAGTAATAAGAAAATCTTATTACACCTATTAATTATTGGCTTCTAATCTAATCCCTTGCTTTTGACAATTTTTGCTTAATTAACCTTTTTAAATTGCTGACTATTGAAATTCCATTCAAGATGCATTTTCAAATGAACTATAATGGAGCTCACTTGTACTTCACAAAATTACCCTAAACCTCGTTCAACGTGTGTATATTCAGGTATCAAAATGAACTCAGTTAACTATGTAGAGGTGTGCTTCTGTCACAATCCTCCCCAATTCATAAATTTCTTGACCTCATCATACAAGACTAAGATAGCTGCAGCTCCAGTGCTCCTAAACACATTCGAAACCGTGCCACGGTAAAACGAAACCAATCCCTCTGTTCGATAGATTTTCCTCCAGCAGTCGAGGGTGCTAGTGTACACCGGATGTTCCATGCCAGACTGCATCATCATCCTCCTACGAACTGTGTCTAGCGGATATGATATCAGACCGGCTGAGGTTGTAACTGCTTGAGCTACCATCCAACGTTTCCACAGCACCAACTCAGGTTTAGATTCTTCAGACAACTTCTCTTTTATGGTATCAAACCCTCCGAAGTAAAGACCTCTATGAACCACCATACCGTGTAGTGATGCAGGAAGGCCCCTGTAAATTCCCCGAACCCCGTCTTTTTGGAATATCGTGGCCAAGAAATGGTAAATGCCTCGGAATTGGCGCACTTCCGTCCTCCCGATGTCAGCGGCAAGGCGGGTGTGTGCGATATCAAGGGGGTATACCAAGATAAGTGATGTACAACCTGCTGCAGATCCGGCAACAAAATTAGCGGATGCACCAGAGAAAAAATTATCGGCATCAGAGTTCCCACCCCTTAATATGCTTCTGTAAAGATCCTGTTGGAAAAAAAAACACTGTTCATCATGGCTATACATTAATTACAACAGTATAGAGAGATTCAGCTTCATCTATAATCAAATTTCATCAATTACACGAGTGACAAGCAGCACACCATCACAAAATAGACATTGAAATACATCAGTTGTGGAAATAAAACTTCATAATGAGTTTTAGAATATGTTCATATTCCATCATCTTCTGGACATAAAAATGCTATGATAATGTTCTTTTTTGCCACATTTCACTAACTTCCATGCAGAGATTTGCTTAGCATCTGTCACAATTCTACTAAATAATAATGCATTGCCTTATGAGAATTGGTACCTACAATCCTCTCCTATTTTTTTTGTTGTAAAAAATATCAACGTAATCTTCAATAACAGCAGCAATTTTAACATGCTTCTAGCAAGACAATGTTTGAAAAAATTTCTCGAATTTATTTTGCCAGAAATATTCTGAATATTTTCATAAAGTCCTCCTGATTGAAAAGTGCCGTGTTTCATTTTACATAAGCAAATTTCCAGTCTCAGATGCCTAGCCCAGGATGCATCAATTATATTTTCTCCCGTTAAAAGGTCTAGTTTAGGTTAAAGTTTGGCACTTCTTTAAATTTAAAAGAAAGTTCATTTCGTTATAAGATGGACTCAATTTCAGTATTAAACTAAGGACCTCATACCAAGTTATCTTGAAACACTCCATTTAGTTTGCTCCAGTTAGAAATTGACATTATTCACAGATAATAATTAAAAAGAGACAAATTACCCTTCAACAAGTAGAAATACTTCTGGAGACAAAGGAAATCCTCGTCATCAAGGAATCAAATTTCAAACTAAATGAATAATGGATGGATCTTCATTTGGGTGCATCACAAGTTATCCAGTTAATTGATGGTACCAAAGTCCCTACATTTTTGTGTCTAAACCAGAGTTATTAATCCCGGATAGCGGAGCGGAGCGGCCGACCCCCGGGAATGGGAAAAGTGGGAATAGTGGGATCCCGGATAGCGGGATAACTTTTTGTATACTAATAATTATATAATAATCTATAAAACATATGTAATGTAATACTAAACTAATTTTACAACACTCATAAAATATTTATAAAATCTAATGTTAAACCAAGAACAATGCTTAATCAAGATTCAAAACATAAAAATTCAAATTCAAACTTAGTACTATCATATGAAAATTCAAGCAAACATAGAAATCATGTAGCATCATCAAAATATTCCTCCAATTCTTCATTTTCTTCATATTCCTCCAATTCTTCATCTTCAACTTCTTCAAAATAGAAAGAAACGGTGTTTACAACAAAACAAAAATAGAAGAAGTAGAAGGTAGAAAGAAAAGAAGTAGAAAGAAAAGAAGTAGAATAAGTTGAAGAATTAGAAGAAATTACCTGAGATGGCAGAAGGAGATGGAGGAAGAATCGAAGAAGGAGAGTTGCAGGGAGATGGCGGCAAAATCGTAGAAGGAGAGTTGAGGAATTAGGGCACGATAAAACACAGCGAATGAGGGAGAAAGAAAACAAAAACTGTTTTATAACAGAGGCATTTAAGTAATTTGGCCCAGAAAATTGTTTAAAAAAAAAAGAGAACCGGAGCCGCTCCGCCCGGGAACTTCCCGCTACCCGCTACCCGGGAACGCGGCTGAAGCGGCCGCTTTTTCATCTCCGCTACCGCACCCTAAATAGCGCGCGGGGGGGTGCCGCACCGCTACGGTGCGCCGCTATAGCGGCCAGAGCGCCCGCTATTGACAACTCTGGTCTAAACTCAACTCCTATCGTAGGATGTGTCTTTGATAAAATTTCATTATATTCTATCTATCTATTACAACATAACTTAAATATATTGATACAAACATGTATATAGATTTTCATTATTTTTGTAGATGCAACTGTACCCTTGCCTTGCATTTGTCAAAGAAGTCTTACCAAGGACTGCAACGCATTTCTAACAAAAATATATGAAAGAAGAAGAAAAGACAAGATCCAAATAAGAAATTCGGGTCCATGAATAATGTCTAACTCAATGCTAACATGCAGCAGGACATACTGAAACATCTATTGGATATCACTTGTTTCAAGAAAACACCGACCAAAGGTCAGGTAAAAATGTAAAATCTAGTAAGTTCAAAGAAAGAGGTGTTTTCACTATAACTGGACAGGACTCCACAATTGTGCTATGGGTTTAACTCCGAAGTGTCCTCCTACAAAACCACCACGGCAGTTTTTTGTCTTGATCTCAATTCCAGTATCAGATTTGAGATCCAATAACTATGCGTTTGCTGGAGCTGTTTTTTTTTTGTTTCCCCTGTCTTGTTTGTTGTTTGATGTTTAATGTTTAGTGTCTTGTTGTTATTGTTCTTTAGTTTGTTATAAGCTTTTATCTGACTATCTGTTGTGTTTGTCGAAAAGCCCCAAAAGTATTAGGCTTTTTGGAATTGCAAATCGGGAATGATGCTAATGGTGCCTTCAAATATTTCCTAAGCATGTGGTTCGATTGGTCATACTCGAGTCTACTTTTAGTTGATGCAAGCCTCCACAAACCAAAAAATGATATAAGATTGTGGATCATCTTTTCTTCAGGACCAATGAGCATAGACCGTGTTTGGAAAAAATTGGTTTGGTTGTTAGGACTCAGATTTTGGTCTAGTAAAGCCCTTTGGCTACTTTTCCTTCTATTTGTCTTGTGGTTACTCGTCATACACTTGGATAACTTAGTTATTTGTTCTAGATTTGTTATTGAATGAAGATTGGTTTCCATAAAAAAAGAACCTAATTAAAAAGGTATATAAAAAAATAAAAAAAAGAGTAATGCATGTATTTCTAGAACGGAATTATTAGAAGTTGACAGGATTATTGTGAGAATAGGGTAGAATGAGAGAATTAGGAAGGGATGGTAGATTATAAATTATAGAGGAGCATAGAGGGATATCATCAAGGCATTTTGGGAGAGAACTGGGGCTTTTAGACAGGGACCTACAGACCCTCAAAGATCTACAAGGGTTTAGGGGTTAAGGTTTAGGGTTTAGGGTTTAGTAAAAGACCAGAGACAATATTCACTATTCGTTCTAGTAAAAGATCAAATTCCTATCATATACTTCTTACTATCTTCTTCACAGGGTAAGGTCGGATTTCAGTACACGGATGCAGAAGGATATCCTAGAAGCTAGCAACAATCAGCATTGCAATGGTAGTAGCAGGAAAATAGAAAAAAGGACCGTCAACTACAAGAACATAAGCAAAGAAAAGTAAGTCCCATTATCATTTAAAAGTGTGAATGCGAGTGCTTATCAAAGTCATTCTGTCAACAGTTATTGAATAAAATTCAACTTGTAAATTATAATAGATTAACAGCAAATGACAATCTTTAAACTTGATTTTTTCCTTCCCGGGCATAGATACCAAGAAGAAGAAGTTATAAGGGATGGAGCGCTGCTAGGCAAGGACAGTATATGGGTGACATAGATAACAAAAAGAAACTATTAAGAGTAAGCAGTAGTGAACCTGATTGGATGAGAGAAATCTGTTAGATAGGGAGAGAAAAGAAAAATAGGGTTTATAATGTGCTAAAGGATAAATAAAAAGCTCCCTTAAGTGAATTTAACAGCAAATGAAATTTGATATTGGAAGTAAAGTACTATGCTTATCCATGTAACTCAATCGGAAAATGGGCTTCCCCAGTGATTGCCATACAATCCCGACCACATACAAAGACAACAAGACAGATCTCCATCCACATCCCTTCTAGTTTCGGGGGGATGCATCAAGCCGAGTAGTGAAGGACATGTTCAAACACATTCAGCATATACAATTCATGGCTCTAACTCTCTTCATCCCTCTTCTCAAACCATAATAGTTTCTTACTATTATGTAAATAGTAACCAGGGTTTTAAAAAACTGTCCGCAACCGCAAAAACGGCCACGACAAAACGGTTTTGAAGGATGTCAATACCGATATCATTATCACCGTTTTCTATATTAAAGAACAAATTATGGTAAATTCACACCGCGACGACCACAATCAGTATAGCGACAACTCTACCGACCGAAATCGCGAAAGTCTGACCGCGGGTGTTTTTTAAAACCCTAATAATAACTAAATACTAAACAGCATTCTCAAATCACGATACATCATTGAACACAACTTGCAAATATTTGCATAATATTAACAACGTGCATTGCATTATTAGGGAGAAAAAAACGAACCTTAAGAGAGAAATTGAGTGCAACAGAAGGATAATATCGAAGAACACTACTCCCATTCCCACGCCACAAAGAAACAACACCTTCTTCCTTAACAGTCCGAATTATACAATCAAACATCCCTTTGAATTTTCTCCGACCACTAGCAACAATAGCCAAGTTACTCTCCTGCGTCTGCAACAACAATTTCGCCCTCTCAATCGGGGCCACAAGCGTATGAATCGCACCACCCATCAACGCACCCGCCATAAGGTCGCGTTGAAAATTGCTTAACCGAGAAGAATTTCGCTTCAATTTCAACTTTTTTTCTTCATCCTCGCCACTCATCCTTCGATTCGCCGCTACCTCAATTTTCTTCACAAATTTACAAACTTTGTACAAAAGGGTTCACGTTCACACTAAACATCTTTAATTTTTTTTCAAACCTAATTGAATGTGATTTGGGTTTCGGGTTTGAGCAAGGTTAACGAGAAGGAAACATTGAAAAGGTTGTCGTGGAATGCAGGTTGATTTTTGAACAAACGTTGTTGTTGTGGAAATTCGTTGGTTTTTATTATATTTGACTTTCCTTTTCTTCCATTGACAAAGATAGTTTTCATTTCTTACCTTTCTATCTTTATTTTTATTTTTTTTCTTCTTTATCATTAATATCTATCTATTCATCCACGTGTAACGTTTATCGTTGCAATCTCTTTGCTTAAATTTTTGGGAAACCCTGCAGACTTACATTTTTTTTTGTTTGGAAATCTTGGTATCCTGCACACTTAGAATTTAGTTGGTATTCATTCATATTGATTATTTATATTAATTTATTAATTAAAAATATTATTTAAAATTTATTTATTTTTTTAATAATTATAACTAAAAAAAATTGCGTTAGACAAAATTGATTTAGTTACATGACGATATACAAAATTGATTTAGTTAAAATTGAGTTTGTAAAAATTAGTTTTAACTTATGAACTATAAATTTTAGTTTTAAATAGAATTAATTTTGAAGATAGAATTAATTTTTTTTAGAAGAATCAAACACTTTAAGATAATCAAAGAATTAATATTACGTATTTAAAATTATTTTTACCTTTTTCAGAAGTCAAACCAAATATATCGTACAACACCATAATTATTATTGTTAAACTTTTTAATTTTATTTATTTTTGTTTTTAAAAATATATTTGTTACTTTTTTTTATCTTTTATAATTTTTTACATCAAAAACAAATATATTTTTAGAATTTTTAAGATACTCTTAATTATTTTTATTTTTTATTTTAAAGGAGAGACTACTCACATTTATTAAAACATATTTATTTTCTCTACCTTATTTATAAGAAATAAATTACTTTTTAGATTTATTAAATAACTAATATATCTAATCTATTATTATATCAAATATATTGATTGTTGAATGAATCTAAAACATAATTTATCTCTTATAAATAGAATCAGAGAAAATATTAATTATTAACCCGTCTTTAATATAAGATTTCGTTGCAATATTACATTTGTATAGTTTTTGAATTTCTCTTAACATTCTCATGAAATTTAAACATTATTTTCTATCGAAGAAGAAAATCGTCATGAATCCTTTTAAAATCCCTTAATACTTTCTATAAGCTACCCTACCACCAAGAATCTCATTTCATGATAAATTTATCGGAAGAATACAAGTCTCTATTGTTTGAGAAAAAATATGATCGTAAAGTTCACATAAAATTAGAAAATGAAAATAGACTTTTGTCTTTCAAAGACATGCATAGTCATTGAGTCTTGTCGTCATTAAACTCTTAGACATAAATATTAGATACAACACAATGAAATAATCTTCTACGACAATGAGGATTTGAGATTATAGACAATGGTATCAAATTCTATGTGCATGGTTAATTTTGATTAAACTGCAAATAATGAAATAGTCATCTCATATGGGTCTTGGATGATCTTCGACCACTATCATGCAGTATCTCATAAGACACCAAAATTTGCTTCGCCAAATACAAAAGTGGAGAGAAAAATTATCTATATATGAGTTTCAAGACTAAATTTAATCTACTATGATGAGATGTTTTACTCGATATGGCTTTTGCCGTCATTCTCCCAATTAAAGTGGATAACCACACTCTAAAAATGGAACATGGAAGATTTTACAAAGTTTGCGTAGAAAAGGACTTTACATTTTTTCCAGTCAAAAAAATTTGGATCAATGGCGATTGGTATAAAATATAATAAGAAGGACTTTGTATCATTTACACATGGCTGATATGGACATCTTAGTCAAAATTGTAACATTAAATCTATCTATCTTGTAGAGTGATATGCATGCCAATAAAAGTGCAAAACCAAATTATGGTGATGAGAATGATATCCAAATCCTTTAGATTCAGTAATAGATCGTGTAGCATACATTATTTAAAGAAGTTTATAGCTTGGGAAAAAAATTGAGGCGGACATTACCAGCATTATAACCTCTATAAACATATTTTGGCATATTATTAAACAGGTTCAAAGGCGTATGAGTGGATAAAAACAACAATGTTTAAGCTTTTCTGGAAGAATTACATTGAGTAAATCTATTTTAAATTCAATCACATGTTTTCATATGCAGTATGCTAAAATTCATATAACTATTAGTAATCAATTAGAAAAACTATAACGGGGCTTTATTTGGAGAGACACGAAGACAACTCACAAGACTCGTCTGATCAGTTGAAAGGTTTGTTGTATGTCTAAGGAACAAGGTGGCATGTGCACCAAACAACCTTAATTAATGAATGATGTTTTTCTTTTTAATATATTTTGGAATTTATTAATTTAACTTAATGATTTATATTGTCATATTCTCATTAATAAGTATGACAACAATAAGAGCTAAATGGAGAATATAATTTGCAATTCAAATAACTATCTTTATAAATATCTTTAACGAAGATGTGGGACAATTTTAGTTGCCAAGACATTGATCATAGTACGACTAATCAAAGGAAATGAGAAGTAGTATGAGAGTGAGAATGTATTTGAATACTTAAAGAATGACTCTTTGAGAATTGTTTTGACTTTGGTGACTCATTATGACTTAGAACTTCACCAAATAGATGTGAATACCGTCTTTCTAAATGGTGACTTAGAGGAAGAAGTGTATATGGCTCAACCTGAAGGGTTTGTTACCACTGAAAAGAAAACAGTGTGTGTAATTAAAGAAGTCAATATATGAACTAAAGCAAACTTCCAGACAATGATCTTAAATTTAACAATATAATTTTGTCACATGGTTTTATAGAGAACACCGTAGATTGGTGTATCTATATGAAGGTTAATGGGGGAAAATTCATAATTTTAGTCTTATATGTCGATGATATTTCACTTGCTGCAATGATTTTGCTTTGTTACATGATGTAAAGAAGTTTCTCTCCACTAAATTTGAAATGAAGGATATGGGTGAGGCATCATATATGATAGGAATAGAAATATTTTGTAATAGATCACAAGAATTATTGTGATTGTCTCAGAAAGGCTATATAAATAAAATATTAAAGAGATTCATAATGGATAAATACTCTGCATGGATAGTTCCTATTCAAAAAGGGGATAAGTTTAATCATATGCAATATTCCAAAAATGAATTAGAACGAAAGGAATCTATTCCCTATGCATCGGTGGTTGGGAGCTTGATGTATGCCTAAACACGTATCTGACCGAAGTTTAGTTTTGTTGTTGGTATATTAGGTCGGTATCAAAGTAATCCTGGAATGGATCATTGGAATGCTGCAAAGAAAGCTCTTAGGTACATACAAGAAACCAAATATTACATGCTCACATATAGAATATCATACCACCTTGAAGTGGTTGGCTACTCAAATTCAGACTTTGCAGGATGTCTGAACTCAAGAAAATCCATATTTGGATATGTTTTTCTTCTGGCTGAAGGAGCAATATCATGGAAGAGTGGAAAGCAATCCATCATTGCTACTTCTACTATAGAGGAAGAATTTGTGGCATGCTTTGAGGCTACAATTCAATCATTGTGGTTGCGGAACTTCACCTTAGGGCTTGGTATTGTCAACAGTATAGCTAGATCGCTAAGGATTTATTGTGATAATTCTTCAGATGTATTCTTCTCTAAGAATGCTAATATTTTAAAAGTGTTAAACATATGGAATTGAAATACTTATCAATGAAAGAAGAAGTGCAGGAGAAAAAAAGGTGTCATTTGAACATATTTGTACATATTTAATGATAGTGGATCCGTTAACTAAAGGCTTATCGTCCAAGATATTTATTGGCCATGTAAAAAGGATCGGCATTATGTAAAAGTCCTTGTTAACATTATAATATAATTGGTATATATACAAGTATAGTTTAATGTTCATATTGTATGACACTTGTGAATTCAATTAAGGTTATGTTTCTACTGAGTTTGTTATCCATATTATGTTATAGATGTCATTGTTAATATGTGATTACTAGGGTGTCTTTAAAAAGACATGAAAGACACATTATTGTATTCCGTAAAGTTATTTGAATTGAATGAATTCGTGATACATAGAAGGAATCAAGTTGATGAATACTTTGTGACCACCGTGATCTGATTATTTCAATTCATTTAAGATAATAACTTGATACTTTCAATGAATGATGCACAATTATGGTATATGAATGAAGTATCAAGTTGTCACATGAGTCAATTGAGAGATTGTTGGATTAATCTATTAATAAATTAGGTCTGACTTATGTAAACAATATCTGACTTAAATGAAAGACACCTAAATGTGATGATTATTTTGGTAGATGGATAATTAAATTAATGGAGTTTTATTTTGAAATTTAAATTCATCTTCTCTCTCTTCATGATTGTTGAGACATAACTCTTGGAATATGACGTGACTCTTAGAATAAAGTGCCTATAAAATGACATTTTTATACCAGCAACACTAATTCTTCTCATTTTCACACAAATATACAAAAGTATCTTCATCATCAAAGATATACATAAAGAAGAAGAAAGAGAGGAGAGGACAATTGGAATAAAAAATTGAGAATCAAACAAGAATCGATGTCATGGATCTGGGTACGTTTTTACTATTTATTATAGAAATTAAAACGCCGTGAAAATCATGATATCAAGATTCAAAATATAAAATTTTGCTAACAATAATATTCTAAAAATTAAAAATTAATTAATAATATGTACTATTTTATCATTCAATATAACAAAAAAAAATTTCAAAAAATATTAAAAAATTCTTTAAATATTTTTTTAAATCGTTTTTCGAATCCCTTCCTTCTACTCCTCTCCAAACTTTTCAAACAAAGTCTTAAAGTCTTAAAGAA